GTCAAAAAATACAGAGAAAATTAGAACTGATCACAGTTATCAGGGAAAGATGCAAACTCAGAAAAAGACCTGTGAAGACCTTCCTTAGGATCTTATAAACTGATTCTAAGCATAATGACAGCTTACAAGGAAAAGAGGGAGGGAGAGGTGGAGGGAAGAGGAAAACAGCAAATCCTGTGGAAGGAGTATAATCTGATTTCTAGAATTAACACATGGTTAAATTCCAATATCTACTTTACAATTAAAAAAACAATCACAGGCAAGTACAGTCCACTTAAAGAGCAAAACAAACTATCCCACAGCCAGGGCAGTGGAGTGTGCCTATAATCCCTCCTGCTTGGGAGGATGAGGTAGGATCAAGAATTACTCTAACAACAACAACAACAACAAAACAGGGAAAAAAAGAGCAAGAAGAGGAGGATGAGGTAGAAAAGGAGGACAAGGGGAACAAAGATAAGGAGGTGGGGAAGAGGAAGAAGAAACAACTATCCTTAGAAAAAATCGGATGATGGCAGATCTACTACACAAAGACCTGGAAACAACTGTCTTAAAAGTGATCAGGCCACTGTGTTCTTTCTTGAGCAGTGGTCTGCTCTCACCCTGTACAGTGTACCTTTTCCTTCTTTTACTTTACCCAAACTCACTCAGCAGAGCATGTTTCTTTTCCTACTTTAATAAATGTAAAATCTTGTGACCGAAAGAAAAAGTGCCCAATCACACTGCATTAGCTTTTCTCTGCTGAGGCAAAGTAAGTGTCATACACAACTTAAGGAGGAAAGGTTTACTGTGGCTCATGTTTTCAGTCCATGGTATCCTGGCTCCAAGGCAAAAACATCATGGAGGAGGAAGGGCATGGTGGAGAAAAGCTGCTCACCTCAGGCTATCCGGAAGATCTTAGATATTTGGAAGATAGTGTCTTTTTTGCCCACAGGGGCATGTTGTGTACTATAAGCTGTGTCAGGAACACTTGACCAGGGGGTTGCCATAGGGCTGAAGGATGGGTAGCAAGGAAAGGAGAAACATAGGCAAAGAGTCAGAGAAAGGGGAAGGGGTTAGGGACAAAATATATCCTTCAAAGGCATGCCCCCAGTGACCTGATTCCTCCATCCAGGTCCTACACCTCCTAATAGCATATTCAGCTATGAACTAATTAGTGGATTAATCCACTGATGAAATTAAAACCACCTATCACATAATTATCTCCAAAAGCCCCACCTCTGGAAACACAAGCCTTCTGTGGGACATTTTTGACCCAAAATAATAACAATTATCATCACTAAACACACAATATAAAGGACATGCAGTCCATCTGGGAAGTCAATAATATATGAATGGCTTACAAAAACAAACCACATAAGCCAATTAGCCACAATGACAGGAGACATATGCTTATTATTGAATCTTGGGGAAACTTGAACATCAGTGAAAATTAAAATTAAGCTGCAGCCTAGAAGCAAGGGCCTCAGAATGTGTCATTTCTAGGCAAGAGAGGACTACTGACTATGGAATTCTCCACTGTGTGGAAAATGAGTCAGTTCTCCCATGCTCACCTTTCTCTCCATGTTCCATATAAGTCAGTTGGGATCTAGGTGGATACACTTGAGGTAAGACTGAAAGGTTGGGGGCTCCAATTTCTCCTGTACATAGCTATAGAAGACTATCCTAAACCACACTCTTGGCTTTAGGAGAAAGTGCACATACTTTCAAGTAATAACTGAAAGTTTTTAAGATGAAGAGACATCAACAACTTGGTACTGACAGCCAGCAGAAATGACACTTGGTTTCCAAGAACTATTTATTGAAAGTTAGAGAACTTTGTGCTAATTCTAGAAAAGCCTAGAGAATATCCATATAGTACAGGGGTATGTGATATTCATGGAACCTGTAGAAATTTAGAGTTTAGTACTTTATGTTAACTGCTAATATTGTTATTACAATAATATTGATCTTCTGGACATACATGAACACACACATATACACATATTTATTGATATGTAAACTTCATCCTCATCTGATAAAAATCAGTATCACTTCAAAGATACCATAAACTTTAAGGGATGATAAATAATTTGAAAGGTTACTGTGGCAAAAATGAATCCTAAAACATTTGGAATAATTTAAATTCAGGAGCCTATAAACAAAATATACAAAGCATTTTCAAAAACAGCAAGTTATAGCCAAATCTTGTATAGCTCTTATATACATTGTTTGGATTTTAAAAAGAGTCATTCATAACCTAAGCCTTTCCTTGTTTAAACAGTAAAGACTGTTTTGGCTGGATTTCAATGACCCCTAATGACCCTAAATGACCCATATTGAATGAGATGCCTGTTCATCCAAAAATATGGCACTAGAGGAGGCCGTGTATTCACTTGTTTGCAACGCTAAAATTTAATTATATTTGGTATCATATCTCTGTCATAACATAAAAGGCATCCATAGGATATATATGTAACTTTTGTCAGAAAAAAAATCTATATTTGAATATCCCTGCTTTACAGTATGAGTTGGCAAAAGAAAAAATATTTCTCTCAACAATATTTCCCTAGTTACAGTCAAGTTCAATTAAAAGATTTAAATTCCTGCTTTGCTCTACCTACTGATCTTGTGAATGTTTAACCTTTGTCTTAGTTTTGTCATCTATTGATGGAATGGAAATGTTATCCTATTAACTTTATAAGACAGTTGGATGAGTTAAAAAGGCTCATGAATATGTCTGTTTCAGAAGTAAAATTCTATAATTAATACCAATTTCTATCACTCTGGGTAAAACAATTCCTGCAGAAAACAATTTGTTTTACAGAGTAAGACCTTTCCTATAAAATAAAGTAGTATTAATATTTCAGATTAAATTATTTGGGTTCCACATGGCATTATGTTCTAGTAAATCCCAAGGAAAAACATTTGCTAATTATCGCGGCCATATAAACCAAAACTAATGGGTAAAAGCAAGTCATTCAAGGTCATTAAGAATTCTTAGGACTTTCTACATTTAGGGTGGGGAAAATTGTGAAGATCATTAATGTAACCTCACTTGTTTACAACAAAAGAAAAAGGAGCCCTGAAGAAGTTGAATGAATTTGCTTGAGTTGTACAGCAAATAAAGCAAACCAGATTTAATTGATACTCCAAATGTTCTTTATATCATAAACATCATAAAAATTCTTCATTGTTATTTCCCCTTTTGAGATACACTGCTTCCTTCATATCTCCAGAAATCTGCTAGTCAACTGTTTTTAGGCATTAATAATCTACCTTTCTAAACAACTACTTTCCCAAATAATTTCCCTTTCTTATGAAAATTACAATTTACTCCAGATATGGCAATATATTCAGTGAAGATGAACCCCTAGTCCTGCCTCAGGGGATGAAGCAGACAAAACAGCCCAGGATTACACTAATCCTAATCTACCTGCAGATGGATTAGTGGAGAGTGGGCCTGTAATTAAACAAACTTGAGGGCAAAGTTTTTTGAGGATTCTGAAAAGATATTTTTCCTCAGCATAAAAACAATTAACAAAGCAAAAGCAAGGAAATGATAATCCCCTTTCCTATTTATTTGTCCTGAGTTCACAGAGAGAAACAATCTTACAGAGATCTCTCAGAGCTCTGACAGTGCTGTACTCACTAGCCCACTAATCACCTTGCTCTAGATTAAATTATCACACAAGTAAGAAACATCCACAGACACATAGTCAAAAGCTCCTAATTTAGCCCAGTGGCACCTGCCTCACAAGCATAGGTCCTGAGTTCACTCCCTGCTACCAAAACAACAACAACAAAAAAAAAAAACCCCAGAAAACTAACAAAACAAAGAAAAAGCAATGTATGTATAACTTTTTAAATTACAATTTTGTTAAAAAATCAACTAGGTATGTTATTAAGAAAGACACTGTGTACAAGTCCACAAATTCAAAACTACAGACTTATTCAAACAATCTAAAATTATACAATCACTACTTAATAATAAACAAATCAAAACTTATAATTATCCTAAAATGCATAAAAAACAACAAAAGTTGAGAGAGCTGTTTTGAAAAGCTGATTATTTTCAAATACTTAATCTATGTTACCATTGAAATGTCAAAAGAGTCACCTTCAAGAAAGTGAATCAACTAATGTTCAAAATAAGATTAATTTTTAAAGTGTAAGACGTTTTGATTAAATTTAGCAGAAAAGCAAGTTTAGATATAATGATATTTATAATGAATAAGAAATTAGCCATGGTAAATGAAATTATAGCTCAAACTTTCTCACCGAAATTAAGACGAGATGTTAGTACTATTAAAGCGAAACAACAAAACCCCAGAGTTAACAGAAAGCATGTTTTACTCCTTTGCATAAATCTGTACCCCTACATCTACTTTCTGTCCTAAGAAAAGTAGACTTGCCAGAATAACCTACTAGGGTAAAGCAACAAGCATTCTATTGAAAATAAACAAATCTTGAGTAATGTGCATGTTTCTACATCTAAATATAAACTCAAATCGGGCAAAATTAATCATAAGTTTTTGTAAAATGTTCACAATGATTGCAGAAAGCATATTTCATTTCATAATCAAGTTAGATACATAACAAACTTAATGGAATGTCTTATTTCAAGTTCACAAAAATGAACCCTCATCTGAAATGCATACAATAAAAATATCATGAATTCTTCAACTGACTTTCAACTGGAGTTCAGCCAGCAGAGAGTAAGTACATGTGGTAAAATGTTGCCCATGCTGAAATTAAGAGAGGGTATATATGTGTTGAAAATAGTTTTCAATATTTCTGTGTATGAAAAATTTCAAAATAAAATGCTGGGAGAAAAAAAGACCCTCAGTGGATTCTAGTACTTCTGTATTTTCAGTTCTCACCTTGAATATACATCCAATACTTCCTTTTTTGCCTCAAAAACCTTATCTTCTCATTTAAAACATGTTATAGAATTATGTCTTTTCAACAAAAATCAAAACTTTAGGAAAGAATTGCTGGTATCAGTGATTTAAATGTTTTACCTGAAAGTTAACATCTTCTTTCTTAAATATTAGTGCTCGAACTTCATCAGGATCTCCGTTAAATATAGCTTGCACCAGTGATGGCTAAAATATGAGAGAATAATAAAAATATTAGCCATACAACCATGAATAATTCTAAAAATATTTCCATATAACTTTTATGTCTAAAAAATTTTTTTTCCTTGTAGCAATAATCACTTTTTGACATAAATCCTAAATTTCATGAAGCTGATAGTATTTTTAAAAGTAGTGGATTCATCGTTGGGGAAAGGGGGGTAGCTGAGTTTAAAAAAAGTATGTATCAATTCAGCTGACTAAAAGTTAGTAGTATAATGAAAACAATCTGATTTTCTTTCAAGTGGAAGTCTCTTATTTATCTGTGATAAAGACTTCCAACTGTAAGTCTGATATCTCACTATTTACTTGAAGAACAGAACTTGTCAAACAACTGTTAGCCCATGCGGAAGCCCAGAAAATAGGGCCCTCTTGAAAAGGCCTGTTTGGAGCAAGAAAGTAACACACATGGGCTAGCATTGTATGTATTAATATATAAATCTCAAGAAAGTTGATGAAAATAACCATTAAAAGATCAAAAGCACTTTACACCTGAATAACATAAAAAGACAAACGCATGTCTAAATATAATATCCTAATCAACACAGTCTTTCTAAGGTATCATATTATACCACTCAAGTAAGGAGACAGCTGACAACAGCATTAAAAATAAGGTTAGGGTTGAAGTTTTAGCCTTTTTTATATGAAGTCCTACATATAAACACATGATATTCTTTATAGAAAAAGCTGTGTCAGTGTTGCCGGTAAAAGTCAACCTTTCCTAAAATACGCAGAGTTCCTGATTCTAGTCATATCAGTTCTAAAACCACAAAATGAAAACAGAAACATGGTTGCCATAATATTTCTTAATTCATTTTTAAAAAGTATTTTTAAAAGATAAAAAGAGAGTAAAGTACAAAATGTTAAGGAAGCATTTGAAAAGGTAAAAATCAGAAATGTCTTCAAAATGCATCACACTGGCACATGGTGCTTTTATCTGGGTTTTTAAACTGGTGTAAACTAACTCATGTTTATTCATTAAAAATAAAATTTATACTACCAGTTTAGTAGAATATAGAAAACATAAACTCTCATATCTTACCAATACACTTCCAGAAGGTGGAGAAAGTAGGGAATGATTTTCCTGTGGCAATTTAGAAATGATTGCAGGAGATTCATCTTCTATCTCCTCCAAAACAACAATACACACTCGACTCATTCGCTCTTTTAAAACATTAAATTCCAAGCTATGTGATAAAAGTCACAGTTGGAAGAGTACAAGTAGTTTTTCCTCTTCTTCTGTACAACACTTACAAACATTCTCTGAGCAGTGCAGCTAATTTTATGAAGTTAATAAGTACTATCTGAGAAACTGAAGTTTAAAATAATGATATATAACTTGTAACTTCATAAAGATAACAAAATTCTAGTATTTTCTGTCAGGTTACTGCAACATTTAACAAAGCTTAAACATCAGCATGTCAGTAATTAAAAGTGAGCCCAATACAAGCTCATTTAGAAATATTTTTCCCTATCTACAAACATAGTAGTATTGTTCTCTCTTTAAAATTTACTTGTACAAAACAATCAGTATTTTAGGTACAACACCACCCTATAAAGAATGAAATGAGAAATAACTGCTATTGCAGAGATGACCACAGCTATACCCACTCTTGTCTGCAAGGTCATACAGTTACCAGTAGGCTGGCTTGCTTACAACTGAAAAAAAAAAAAAATCTCACTATTCTGTTTCCACTTCTAAATTGTTTGAATTTCTTCAGCTTCACTGACTTAATGCTGATATTATCCAGGGAGGAATAAAAGATCTAGAGCTCCACACAAATCTGAAAATGAAGCTCAGAGGTTGACAATTCTTTCTGTGTTTGGGAAAGAAAGAAAAAAATAATAAAAACCACTCTGCATTAATAGCAAAGCTGCAGCACATTTACACGTGATGAGTCAGACCACAAAAGACAATAGGACTCTTGGTACAGGAATACAGCTTGATTAATCCAGATTTCCCATATGATAGAAGAAACACAGATAGCTTTATTCCATCCATAGCATTAGCAAGGCAGAGCTTTCATTCTTTCTCCATCAGGCAGTTGTCTGTTGCAGTTCCAGCAAAAGGACGCAGGCACCAGGCAGAAATGGTGATTGTGGAGAATCCTAATAGAACAAGCAGGCTGTAAGGGAACTAGAAGGCATTTCAGCTCAAATTACTGCTTCAGGGTTTTCATTTTAAAAAGGAAGGGGGAAAAAACCCAGTAGTTCATCATTCCAGTGATTCCTTTGATCTCCACAAGAATACGGCTTCCATTAAATAGTCTTCATTCAGAGGAAATAACAGTAGACTGTGCATCTTCTTTGAGCCAACTACTTTATTCAATCATCTGCCACTGTGCCAATAGTTTCCTTCCACAGTAAAAACCGCTAGTTATCCTTCTCAGACAATTTCAGATGCTTTTCTGTTCCTCTGAAAATCTTGAAAAATGCCAGCAACAAACATCTCCAAAGTAGCAGGTCCTTAAAAAATATCTACAGAGCCTCTGAATCGGACCCACAGAAGCATTCTAACTGAGCAATAGTCCTGAAGAGCAAAGACCGCAGACCCACAGGATGAAATGCCTAGTAACGCTCACATGTTACACTTACCAGAGGGCTGAGCTACTGCTCAGGATGTAACTTCCTCTACCAGAAGAAAAAAACTGCATTTGGACAGCCTTCACAATTGGAAGGTTTATGCCAGTTCTGTGACTAATCCAAATCAAACTGAAAAATTCTATAACTGAAAAATGAGTGTGCTTTTAACATTTTCCACTAAAAGCCACAAGGAAATCTGGTGTACTGCCTCTGCTGACTAACACTGGTTTTAGCAAGTAAACAATTCCAAACAGCTTAACTGCTTTCCTATGCTACAGCAAATGTTTAACCCTATCATGGCAGCTACAATAAAGAATGTATCTATAGCAAACTCATAACACAGACTTAGAGGAAAGAGAACTACTTTGTGAGACTAAAAATCATGAACTTAATTTAAGATCTTATTTTTGCTAAGATGTTTTTTTGAGGGGAGGGTGCCACACATGTTATTTTCTAAAATGTGAAGTTTAAACAGAAAAATTTAAGTTTTTTTTTTTTCCTAATAATTCTGTGATGTCGTTGTTGTTGTTTTTGGTACCAGGGACCTTGTGCTTGCAAGGCAGGCGGTGGGACCACTGAGCTAAATCCCTGGCCCTCTATGTTGTTGAAGTTAATCACTGATTCATATTTTTAAAGAAAAGGAAAACTTGATTAAATAGAAATCCTAGATTCATTTTGAAAATCTTACCTTCCTATCTGGTATTTGCTATAAAGCCTTAAACATGCGTGAACAAGCTAAATAAAACAATTGTTTAGTCCTTGATCTTGAGTTATCCACATGTCAAAGAGTACAAGGTAACACAAAGTAAAAGTATCTATTTTCCTTATAGAACACTTTCCCCAAACTACAATTCATTGTTAAAACCAGACACTTTGGGGCTGGGTGTGTAGCTTAGTAATGCTTGCCTAGCATGTGTGAGGCCGGGGTTCAATTGTCAGCACTGTACAAAACAACTCCAGCCACTTAGTAGTTGCCCCCTTTCTTTGTTCACCCAATGATAGAAAACTGCAAACAGAAAAACTACAAAGAAAATACCATGGTCCCCCTTCAATATATTATTTTTCTCCTATTAACTATACCTTTAGTAATAAACACAACAGTTTATTTTTAACACTATACTAGGCGTTAACACATTCTTATTTAATGCTCTCAATAACCATATTCTTATTTTATAAAGGAAAAAAACACTCAATAAAGTATTTTACCCAAAGTCATTCCAATTACTAAAGTTGTGTCTAATCCCAAACATATATGTTCATATTCTTTCTTTCCTTCACCTCCTCCCCAACCTTTTTGCAAACTATAATACTACCTTGTAAAAATGATCTTGAAAGACAAGTAACCTATAATAATGGTTGTGAAAAATTCAGGTAACAAAGGAATATTATCTTTTGACATAATATTCTCAAATACATTATTTTAAAATGAGTACTTCATAGTAAGTCTTACCCTCACATACCTAAGGCAGTTTACTGATCAAAACTTTGCAAAGAAAAGAAAACCCTTATATAAAGGATGCTGGGACTTAAGAATAAAAGCCACTGAAGCCATATAGTATTACTCTATGAAACAACATGAAATCTGTAAGTTACAGATTATATCATGTAGAATGTCTTATAGATTCTATGACATACTTTTTTATTTTTTCCTTTTCCATTTTTTCCCTTTCCCTACCCCTCCTCCCACTTCCCCTAGTTTCTCACACCAGAGAATGAATATATATATTCACTAATTATTTATTATCTTTTTTTAAGATAGGGTCTTGCTATAGTTTGTTGTTACGTTTTGAGCTCTTGGACTCATACTTACTAGGTTTCTCAACCTAGAAGTAAACTACTTGAAGGCAGGGACTGTGTTGTATATATACACACACACATACATATATATACACACAGTTTGTTTCCTCCCACTTTCTTCCACCTATAAACAATTTCCGTGAAATGATTTATTATGTAACAAGACACCAGAGTGTCAGAATTATAAAAAATATATGCGTGGGGGGGTAAGCATATACTTTAATTGGAAAATAGAGGCCTTATGGTACAAAAACATGAGTTTTAATAAGTGAACAACTAAAATTCAGAGTTGCTAGGGATTAATAAAATTATAAAGAATAAAATTAATGGCAAAGTAATCATCTACCTGAAGTTTAATTTGATTCCATTATTTATTAGTTGTGTCCTTGGGCAAACTAATTCCTTGAGTCCAAGTTTTGTCACTCAAAAGAATAGTGACCTCAGGATAATTGAGGGAATATACTGTACTAGCATAGTGTTTCAAAATCTAAGTTTTGTAGCCAAATTGCCTTGAATACAAATCCATTTGTTTGCTTTTTTTTTCCTTTCAGTACTAGGGATCAAACTCAGGACCTTGCACTTGCAAGGCAGGCATGGTGCCACTGAGCTAAATCCCCAGCCCTGGAATCCATTGCTAATGAAGCTAATCCCATGACTTTATAGAGATTACCTAATTTCTCTATGTTTATCTCAACATCTAAATAAGATTATCAGAATTTATTTCGTACATTTATGAAACTCAAACAATGTAACTGTATTTTTATAGATTCTGGGACTACATGAAGTTCCCTTATGAAATCAGTTAGTAGATAAGACACTATAGTGCTGAACCCCCCACCCCCCACCCCCAGTGATGTAATTCAGACTACTATCTGGAGATACTGTTTAGGTGCTAAGTCTCCACTTCTCAGAGACCTTTTGAGAGACTACTAAAAGCTTTTCCGAGACTCTAGGAACAAGATGAGTGCTTTACTAAGTGGTACTAAGGTGATGGAACAAGTACACTTAGGCAAGAATGACTACAGATTTTTTCATTCTTCCACATTTGCTGTACATTATAGTTTAGGGAAAGCAAAAGGGTAGAAAATACTTGCTCATGCTAATTAAAGATAAATGGAAAATGTCATGAGAAATACAGTACTTCTATGGGGGGGGGTACAGGTCATCAAACTCGGAACCTTGCACTTGCAAGGCAGGAGGCAGAACCACTAAGCTAAATCCCTGGCTTCTGTATTTTTTAGTTTTTAGTTTTACTTTTTGTGGTACTGGGTATCAAATTTGGGACCTTAAACTTGCAAGGCAGCAGCAGTACCACTGAGCATTTAGCCCTGGCCCTTTTATATTTTTATTATATAAATGAGCAGTGCTGCTTAATACCTTTTTAACTTTGACTGAGTAAGACAACAGAGTCCTACCTGGTTTTAAAAGGACTGAGGATGCTCAGTGAAGGTATGGGGTTCAATCCCCAGGACCATGAAAGAGAGACAGAGACCAACACAGAGGCAAACGGAGGGAGGAGGAGGAAGAAAAGAAATGGGTAAAGTAGTTTTGATGAAAAACTACAGACAACAAAGACTGCGTAAGTTCACTTTTTTATCCCAATGAGAGGAACAGCAAGGGGATATAGTTTTTGTTTTTTTTTTTTTAGGTACCTTTTTTCAAAAGGCCAAATTAGGGCCAGGGATTTGCCTCAGAGGGTACTGCGCCTGAGTTCAATCCCTGGTACCAAAAAAAACCCAAATTAGACATAGAAATTAGATATAACTTGTTTTCTCCCCTACCCCCGACAGGGTCTATTTTTTTCCCCATTAAGTTTATTGGAACATTTTAGGCATACAGTAGTTACATTCATCACGGGGAACTTGTGCCCTTACATTATATATCTTGGTTCTTATCTGATGGGGAATTCCCCTGTCCTCCCTTCAGCCCCTCCATTTTTTCCTTTTCTC